AAAAAAAAAGGACTACCACATTTTGAGAATTTGATTGTATTAATTCCTTTTTATTCTATTTCCTTTTTAATTTATTTCATGTTATATAAAATTCATACAAAATAAAATATGATTAGATGCATACAAATATAACTAAATTTTCACAAATATACTTCACAGAATTGATAAATACTTGTTATATAGTATTATATAACAAAATAAATGAAAGATATGATTTAAAAAATATTAGTAAAGATTTAAAAACTAAAATTTGAAGACATTATACGTCACAAATTTATTAATACTATGTGTAGTATTTATAGAACAAGAAATTATAAATAAAAATATTTATATTTGTAATTCTTGAATAATTTGATGAATAAATTTATTTTGGTATCTTACGAAATTTATATGGTAAGTTCATTGATGTTTATAATTTGTATAAAATTAGTTTATGGAAGAATGATGTAGTACCTTTTATAGGCAAAAGAAAAATGATATTTTTATTTTATTTTATTGGTAATGTTGTCTTGATTAGTACCCTTTTTTCGTTTTCATTTTGTATTTAATGTGTTTTTTTTGTTCGATATCTATATTGAAGTTCGAATAATTCGAATTTAAGTTTGTAGAGCCCATTTGTATTTTTAAAAAATTTGTAAGAAAAATGCTTATGCAGATGTAAGGACATAAGTTCATTCACATATTTCTCGCTCACATAGATTTTATAGCAAACAATTAAGAAAGGAACTAGAGGTACACATAATAAAAATAATCATACACTATATATTTCATAATATATCTTCTAAGTAATTCACATTTACTAATCAACTCAAATACATATCGTTTAAAAGTTATTTTATTTTCATGAAATAGAGGGTATAATAAATTTAAATATATTTTTTACACCGCGCGAAGCGCGGACAATTCACTAGTTAGGATAAATTAGGTAAAGAGAAATTTCTTTCACTAATCTCTCACTAATATCATTACTTTAATTATGCTTTCTTATTTCTTTTTGATATAATTGATTTGATTTTGATTTTAATTTTAATTTTATTTAATTTTTTTAATTATAGTACTATATATCTATTAAAATTAAATACTGAGTAAATATTTAAGGAAACATTATGAAGTAAGGAAACTCATTTACCAAATTTTAAAGATTTGACTAGAGCTGTCAATATGGGCTAGCCCACCCCATCCAGGCTAACCCATACAGGCTTTGACATTTTATGGGTCAGGCCGGGCTAGCCCATTTTTGGTGTGGGCCAGAAAACGGTCGGCCCAACCCACAAGTACGTGGGCTACAGGCTTGCTGGGCCAGCCCACTTTTTTTAATTTTTTTTTTATATATAATTATTAAAATAAATTATAAATTATAATTTAAAAATATTATCATAAATATCGACAAAACAATATTACATCATGTTAATGTTACTACTTGTTAATCAAATCCACAAATAAAATTATCTTTATAATATATATTAAGGTTTTTTCAAATAAAAGTATAAACATATAAATAGAAATATTAACCTAATTGTTTTGTCACATTAAAACACAAAAAATGTGACAATATTCCAACCATAAAAAAGTTAAAAATAAACTCCTTAAAAATGAAACTTATGGCGTATCCAACACTTCATGATCATTTTCATCAAGCATATCTGAATCAGCTTGTGGCAAGGTTGTCTTAACATCTTCATTTTTATCTGCAATTTATATGCGGTTTCAATTAGTTAAATATTAAATAGATTTTGAGTTTGGATTCTCTTTAATTTTAAATTTTAATATTATATTATATTTTTTTAATTATTTTTATTTGGCCCACGGGCCGGCCCTACCTATATTTCTCAAGCCCCACAAATCAGCATGCTTATTCAGGCCAAGTTAAAAAACCTTTTTCTTAAATGGGCTCCAAAAATCTTAGCCCAGCCCTATTAAATCCCGGGTTAAGCCAGACTGGCCCAACAAGCCTAGCCCATATTGACGGCTCTAGATTTGACTCATCTTCATTACATATCCTCACTATTTTTTCAATTGCATATATTTAAATGAATGATACGTGTTATTTAAAATTTAAATAATTAGATTAAATTTGATTTATTATGCTTTTTAATCATAATTAAAGGATAAAATAGGAAAAACTCACCAGGTTAAGAGAAATCTCTTTCACTAATCTCCTCATTAATATCATTACTTTAATTATGCTTTCTTATTTCTTTTTGATATAATTGATTTGATTTTGATTTTGATTTTAATTTTAATTTTATTTAAAAATTTAATCAAATGAAATCATAAATATCTTTACAAATAAATTTAAAAATACACATTAATAACTCGAGAAACTTAGATTATTAAGGACCCTTTGGCGCACAGGTCAGGTGTTAAGCTCCAAAGTTGGAGAAATTTTCAGCAAAAATGGCTCCAAAAGTTATCATGGTAAGAGAAATTATCACCCCTTTGCTTAATTTGTACTCATAAATTCATCAAAAGCTCAAAAAAATAATTTTTTTGGTTCGTTAATGGTTATTGATTAAGTATTTGGGGAATTTGCAGGTAGCAGAGAAGCCTAGCATTGCTTTATCGAATGCCTCAGTACTATCTGGTGCTCAAGTGTGATTCTTTCTTTCTGGGTCTTCAAAATCTTGCTTTTTTTCTTCTTCTTGTGGTTCAGTCTGTTTCTGATGTGAAATTTTATTTGTAAAGAACTGTTTTTTATCACTTCTCATATGCTTGCAAGTTTTTGAATATAGTGTCTGAGCTAAGATTTTTATTAACCCGGAGTTCAAAATATGAAGAAACTGAAAGGGGGTTCAATGTAATTTTTTGTCCTCCGCCCTACTTGGCTCCGCCCTTAGTTGGATAGTCATAATTGTTGATATGCTGAATGTGGGGAAATACATGACTAGCTATATATGCAAGGAAGAAATTTTAGGGGTAGTTTAGTTTTTAAACTAGTTTTTTCGTATATACATCAAAATTCAGTCAACGTTCCTTGTTTGAGAATGGTAAATAAACAAATTAGGAAAAAAATATAAAAGGCGCTGGAGAAGTTAATTCATTTTTTTATATATAGAGACAGAAAAATAAGGAAATCAATTATGGAAAAGAAAAATAATTTCAACAAGAAACTACCAATTCATATAGTTTTAGAAATCCTTACTTAAAAGGTATCTGATTTTCAATGTCTCCTATAAAAAATAAATATATTTACCCCAAATTTTAATTTCAAAGCAAAATATACTTCTTGAAGAAGAACCCGAAAGAAGAAAAAGAAACACAAAGGAAATTTAGGAGAATGGGCACAGGGAAGAAGAAAATAGAGATAGAGAAAATTATAAAGGAAACTTCTAGAATGGTTACATTCTCGAAAAGGCGGAAAGGACTTTTCAAAAAAGCTAAAGAATTTGAATCCATGACGGGTTCTCGTGTTGCTTCAATTGTATTGTCACCCACAGGAAGGCCTTATACTTGTGGAGACGTTGATTATGCTATAAAAAGACATTTTTTTAATAGCAGATGTATGGAATTATTAATGTCAGACATGAATTCTCGTGATTTTAATTCTAATTCTAATTTTAATTCTAATATTGTTATTTATGGTGAAACTTCGGGATCAAAATCATCTTCGATTCCAAAGAGGAATAGTCTCCGCAATTGGGTGGAGGGTATAGATGTTGAACAATGTCAAAATTTGAATCAACTCTTAATGTTGAAGGAACAATTGGAAGGAACAAAAGAAAAGATTGCTTCCATTGAAGACGTTGAGGCGTTTGAAGCTTTGTTTGTTTAAATGTTTTTAACTTATTTGATTTATATACTTGTACTCTATTATATATTAGTAATAATTATATTGGTATTTTTGTTTAGTATGATCAATTTAATTTTATTTATTTAAAGAATGTTGTTGATTCCATAATTTTCGAAAAGTTGTGATTTGATTGAGTTTAATTGCAAATTTGAAACTGTAAGCTTCACACAGGGTAATGATTGTAACATTGAGATATTACTACAACAAATAACAATTTAGCGCACATTACTTAATGCTAATAATATAATTCATGCTATATTATATTTAGCGATAATAATAAATATATATTTATAAAACACTTTATATAAATGTTATCAAGATTTTAGTAACTCTATCATAGCATTAGTCGTGCAAATTTTTTATTTAGATCCTCACCATTAAAATACTTCATTATTATTAATTGTTCACTTTTTCTATTTGAAATATTACATGTTCAAATAGAAAATGTGAACAATTGATAATTAAGGTGTATTTTAAAAAACCTCACATACTTGATAATTCAAGTATAAAATTTTTAAAAAATCAAGATAACTCAACTATGTTTTTGATCATTTTTTTTTGTCTTACTCTTTCAAGTCGTATGAAATCACTAGGCTATAAGACATTATTGTAAAATTTGGATTATTTCTTGATTTGTGAGTGTCATTCTTGTGCAAGAGTCATGTTAATCTTCTTTGTATCGTTTCAATTTTATAGATTGAGAAGTTGAAGCTCCAAAAACTTTAAAAATACAAATAATTGTGGCCACACTTGAAACTAATACAAGGAATTACTATAAACATAAATTTAACTAATTTGAGATCATAATGAGGTTCTTTCCAATTTCATTGTTTTATCGTTATTTTTTTTCAATGTATTTGAAATTTAATAAGTTTCTTTTGAAACTATTAAATCATATATAGTATGAACAACTTCTTCCGTCAATTGTACTAAATTAACTCTTTTAAAGCTTGGAATCAATTTTGCGAACTAACATATATTTCATAATATTATCCATATAGTAAACATTTGTTCAAGAAGAAAAAATATATATAATTACGATGAAAAAAAATCATGATACATAATAAAATATATTATAATATTTATGATGTATTAAAAATTCTTCACTAATGATCATTAATATTAAAAAGTAATATTTTTTTAAAATCTCCCATAAAAATAAGTTAACATTTATTCAATTCCTATATGGACATGTCCTCCCATAAAAGCAAAAATGATTTGTGATATTTTATTCAAACATATAAAAGTTGCAATCGGAAAAAAGAGAGTGAAATGTACGATCGGCTAAACAGATGGTACAATAGATCGAGAGCTCACAGTTGTGCGCCATTATTGAACTACAAAATCTACAAATACTGAAACGCAGAAAAATCTCACCACTCTTATGGCTCTGCTATCGTCATCGTCTAAGGGAGTGGTAGTATCTCTGCCGGTGCTGCTCCTTACCGGCGCCGCCTTTTCCGCCGTATTATTCTTCTTTCTTTTCTCCTCACCACCACCGTGTAATTGCCCTGTCCCTCCAACCACCGCCGTCGGTGGCGGCGGTGGCTACAGATCCGGCACCGGAGAACGGATCTCGACGTCAACAGAGGATATAGAGTGGGTGAAGAAACAGATCGAAGGTAATGGGCTCCATATGGCGGATAATGTGCTGCGCAAAGGGATCAACCCTCGTACTCGCCAACAACAGCTTCAGGATTTTGTTCAGTATGAAACTTCCTCAATCTATTTTTCACACTTTCCTCCATGCTTGGATTAATATGTGATGTTGTGCGTATGGTGAAGTTTAAGTATTTCACACTCAGCTTGTAGTGTAATTGCATTAAATTATCAAACATATTTTTCTAACTAAAATACTTTTTTGTATAATTGAGGATTTTATTGCAATTATACTACAAGGTGAATGACCTGTGAAGTTTTGATTGAGTTGTTAAAATGGTCATGCCTTTATTGTGAATACTTGTAAAATCTGTAATTTGTAGAAATTCCTGGCAATTGTTTGGTTTTACTTGAAGTTTGTTTCCTCTCTTGTAGTACTAGGTGACACTGGTTAATGTAGAAAGATAGTGAGATGAAGAACGTTATTCATGCTGTTTTAGTAATTTGTTCCTGACTTCTGTTTATGAGGGTATGGTTTTTGCTTGAGGAACATTCCTATTATCTATTTAGTTTAATAAGATATGCAATCTAGAAGGGAATTAATGTATAATTTATATGATGAGTGCTAGTGATGACAGTCTTTGATCTCGAAAAAAATAAAGATATATAAATTGCTTCGGTAGGGGAATTGAGAGAAAGAAGGTAATGTGTCGTAGGTTCCATTTTATTCTTCCCCATGGGGCTGGTTGTTGATTAATAGAAGGATAAGTAGATGATTAAGAAGACACTGGTACTGTTCATAAATAAAATTATCTTATTTTGTCAAATCAAGAAGAATATGATTAAGAAGACATTGTGCTTTGGTAAGTGTTAGTACACTTATTTTGTAAGTTTTCTCTTTTATGGTTTCACCATCCTCTCCCTTTATATTATTTTCCTTGAAAAGAAAGAAAATGTGCTTTTAGTACTCTCAGTAATAAACATGAAACTAGGCTCTAACGAGAAATAAATATTTTATTACAGTTTGAATTTCTTCATATGATTTCATCACCCTTGTTTTTCTTTTTCGTTATGGAAAGATAATGCATAGACCCCAACTAGCTTGGGAAAGAGATATAGTAGTTGTTGTGGTTGTTAAAAAAATAATGCGTAGACATATTTGGTTCAGTGCATGGCCAGGAAATGGAAATTGTTACTTAGGTGCTTTCCTCTTGTATGCATCTGAAGTGTTGATCAAGTGCTATTGTTAGTAGCTACTCAGCAGTAGCTCTGCTTGTCTATTATAACTTCTCTGTCTTTTTTCAGGTTCAAGGGCATATCACATTATGAAGGAGAACCAACAAATAATCACACTGCCCTTCCTTGTCCTGGTGAACTCCTCGTAGAACAACACCATAGCAATTATGGAGAGCCATGGGCAGGAGGGAGGGATGTTTTTGAATTCCTTGCAGAGTCAGCCCATCTAACCCCAAATGCCCAAGTTCTTGAGATTGGATGTGGGACTCTTCGTGTTGGATTACATTTCATCCGGTATCTGAACCCAGAACACTTCCACTGTCTTGAGAGAGATGAGCTTTCTTTAATGGCTGCATTCAGATATGAGCTTCCATCTCAAGGCTTATTACACAAGCGTCCCCTTATTGTTAGAGGTGAAGACATGGATTTCAGTAAATTTGGATCCGGAACTATGTATGATCTGATATATGCAAGTGCTGTTTTTCTTCATATCCCTGATAAACTTGTTTGGGTTGGTTTGGAGAGGTTAGCTGCTAAATTGAAACCTCAAGAAGGTCGAATCTTTGTGTCACATAATATCAAGTTCTGTTCACGATTGGGAGGAGAAGAATGCACAAAGAGGTTGAATGATTTAGGGCTAGAGTATATTGGCAAGTTTACACATGATAGTTTGCTATTCAATCACTATGAAATTTGGTTTGGGTTTAGGAGATTCAGAGCTTGAGGTCGTGTGGTTGTTTGAAGACCTAGTGTTCTTGCGTGTATTGTCTAAAGCTATTGTGGAACTGCATTTGAAGGCACGCTCTTGCCTACACATTCTTTGCTGGAATTCTGGCACGAAATAGATCTTTGTAGCATTTGTGTGTAAGAGATGCTGCAATTTCCCAAAATGGAGGTGGATCATCATTTACATAAAGCTAACTCCTAAACTTGAAGAATCGAGCATTAGCTGCAGAGGCTGATCATGTGATGAAGAAACAATTTCACGCAGACCAGCTGATATATGAAACAAGGTTGATCTGTATCATACCTGATTTGTAACTTTTGTTGTATCTTGAACTTCTAGTTGTAGCAGGCTTTTTCATTATCTGCTATGTTGTGCATTATTTCAGTCACCACTTATGAAACAAGTGACTATTTGTTATTCTTGCTTCTAGATTTTGTTCAATGCAATTTAGGATTATTGTCCATTTTCCATCGTCAAGTGATTTGGAGATGTCCCTTTCTGTATCAACAATGCAAATGATTTTGAGATTCTTGGCATGTGGCATTTGCTACTCGAATACTGTATGGATCACTTGTTAGTGATTCTGATCTATTTCATGACCTATTAGAAGTTGAGGGTGCTCTGGTGGAGTCTTCAGACCACTTTTTTTGTAAAATGATCTGCGATTCTCCCAACAACTGCAGGATATTTCTCATCTCTGAATATGATTTGCTTGATTCAACAATTTTCAATTTATTATTCCTCATTACTTTCTGAAAATCAAAATTCAGATTCAAAATGACAAAAAAAACTGAGATGCGCCTTCTTTTGAGGTGTCCTGGTCATATTTTCACTTGTTAAATGTAAAGTACATGATACTTCGCCTAACATCTGAGAAAAAACTCGACAAAACTGAAAGGGATTCATTGCTTTAGCCATATTGTTAATAGAAAGCAACAATGATGCAACTAAAAAGGAACAGTTGCAAGAAATTAGGCCTCCCCAAAGGGAGGATTGAAATTATTTCGAGAAGTATGATCCTCGTATCTTGAGGGTAAGACAGCTCCGTGTGATGGTAGGCTATCTATTACATCAAGTAGTAAGCAAATCCAAACACCTAAGCACTAAAAAAGTTACCAGAAATCATTTTCAAATTATTGAAAACTGAGATGTCTCAATGCCAATGGACAACCTTAAAACAAGACTATCATTATATGTCAAATCAAAAAGTCAAAATCTCCATATCAGAAACCAAACGCGCAGCATTTCAAGTAAACAAACTTGTATTGCAATATTTCCTAGTCATTGTTCCGCTCATAGTGTTGTATAAGCACATCTATCTCAACTTCTATATTGAAGACATCTTTTGGGGGAATGGAGTGAATCTATTTGTAATGCTGAGAGGCTTCCATTACCACCTTGTCCATGAACTGGCATTTCTTGTCAAATCCCCACCCTGGGTTGCTCTGTAAGATAGATAATTGTCAGATATTACAACACAGTTGAAACATATGAAACAAGCGTCCAGGTAAAGGATGAAACAGTCACAAGATATCTTTCTCTTTTAGATACATGATTAATTTAAGAAAAAACAAACAACTAATCTATAGAACTAACTTAGGATTTTCAAAGGAGCCAAAGACCTTTGATATAAAAATGAAAAAAAGAAAGATGATAATACATAAACAACATACCAAGTGTAATCCCACAAATGGGGAAAAGAAAGATGATAGTGACTGATAATATTTGAATTGAACACTATAAAAAAGGTCTGTAGTCCCATAACATTCAATGAAAAACTTCTTCCCACAAGAGCAACATATCCAGAAAGCACTATCAAGTATATTAGAAATCATGGGTTGTTGGTACTAGTCTCATTTAAAGAGGGATAGTTATTCTTTTATAAGTAAATAGAAGACGATAATAGTCATTTTGGGGGGGGGGGGAGATAACCTATCTATACATGACACATTGTAGTAAATTTTCCAATTGCGACATTTTACATGGCAAGTTTAAGACCACACAATTCAAAGGACTACACACATCTTTAATTTAAGTGATGACGTTTCATACTGTTTTGTACTAATTATGATGGGATATCCCTGCAATACACGTAAATAGAGACTAGTGACCAAATAAGAAGAAGATTGATTCCCTCATTTTGCAAGTCAGTTTTTCATTTCTTTAATGCTGAGAGAGAAATCTTTCATTCTTAGACCAGTTTTCTATGTCTTAATATTCAGGTAATGAGGTTTCATACTGTTTCATTCTTATTAGGCTTAAAATATAATTAAAAGCAAATGAATGTTTGATAATACTTGACCTGTAGAGACAGAACAGCACGCTCTGTGAACCGCTTTACTGAATTGGGTGCACTTTCTGGAAGAGTTTTTGCTACTCTTTCCAGCTCTTGTTGCTGTTGCTTTGCCGTTACTCTATCGGGCCCACTGTAGTAATCAACTATCTCTTTCATAAGTGGGACAGTCTCCATAGTTTCTTTGATGACTTCCTGCAAGGAAAAAATGGATGTGAAGTCAGCTAAAGAAGATGATCAACAAAGAAAAAGTTACCGAGAGATTAACTGCTTCATTTTTTATGATCATTAAGTCGAACAATTTCTTTCCTAAGTGGCACAGTGTCCAGACTTGACTGCAATGAAAACAGAATTGGGTGATTCTGCTGGATCTGGAGCTTATAGTACTATTAAGGGGAAAAGGTTATTTAGAGATCGCTTGGTAGCTAGCAAGGAGGTAACCTATCCATGTATTAATTTCTGTGCAAGTTATACAACATCTTGTAGCTAGTTATGAAGTTAGTTATCCATGTATAAAATTAATATGACGGTTGGTTTGCAATTAAGAAACTCACATAACTAATACATGTAGAAGTTATGACGGAATTGGTGTATTATCTTATGCAGGGTAGAAGATGGAATAACCAATACCTGCATAACTATCACTTGCATAACTAATACCTGCACAATTCTAACCAGCTACTAAACGACTCCTTGGTGTTGTTAAGAGCCATTGTTTTGTTGCTTAAGGGATGTGAAGCAACGGCAATCGTTTCATGGGTGAAGACATGCGGCGCTTCACGTAATTGTGTATTTTAAAGCAATAACATAAAGTGATTCACGCGCGAAACAGTTGGTTCTCTAAATCTCAACTTAGAGGGGTTGACTCATATCATTGTATATTGGATGCTAAAATTAGTTATTTTAATAGCAATTTGATTATTATAGAACTAAATTTTATACATAAGATTTTTTTAGAAAAAATCCTTATATTATGCTCTTCACCTAAAAAAAAAGGCTTCCCGTTGTTTCTCCCTTTTCACTCCAAACCTCATGGACCTTGTTGCCTGTTTGCGCTTTCTGTTTACAGAACTGTGGTCATTTCATCGATGTTGACGCGAGTAAGGGAAGAGGCACAACTTGAAGCTACCTTGTGGGAGAACCAAGGGATGAGCAATAGCACTAAAGGCAAATGTTCTCTTAATTTCATAGCACAAGGTTTACTTCTGTGTATGAATCGAAGTTTCCAACTGTGACAGATTGTCCCTATTAGGGGATTGCTTTGGCCCATGAAGTCTGAATATCCAATTAAGAAAGAAGTTTAAATTGACATTTTTAGTTGATCCTTCTTTATAGGAAAACCAGCATAAACACTTCCATAATAAAGCTTCATCTAAAAGCATAAGACTTTTGAACCTGCCACTATACAGTACAATCCCCAAAGGTTCAGGAATGTAGAATCCATAGAACAATCACTATAACTACATGTACTTAAATCCTTCTTTAGTCAATGGATTTTCATTTGTTAAGGCGTCTATGCATGGATCTGTATACTACTATAGATTCCACTGATAGCTTGGTATCGCTACAACCAGAAACCTAAAGAACTTGTGAGGTTGTCAGACTAACATTCATATAACCACATCAATACTAGTGTAGTTCATACATCAGGCGCACCAGTCTCTCTTTCTCTCCCATTTCCATGAAATCCACTATTTTGCTGTAGAGGGGTCGAGGCATAGCATTGGCCTTTTTTCTTTAATAAAGAGTAACAATATTGAAAGTTATTCACTAACCAAAGGGCCATCACCTAGGCTTAATTTTTGCATATAGGACTAATACTTTAAGCATAAAGTGCAAGGTGAAACTTTAAAACTGGAGTTGAGATAAAAGCACTAGATTCGTGGGTCATATGCCATGAATTGTCAACGAGAAATTGATTAAGTCCTCTCTAGGTTTATGAAATTAGCACAATTAGAGACATCGTACCGTACAATGTTGATCAAACGTCCTGGGCATACATGAAGTGTAAAAGCATAAAAACAATGAAGATCTTACAAGCACATAGTGCAAAAGATAGATCAAATCACAAATAGAGGAAAATACGATATGGTTTAAGAATCTAATATCATGTCAGGTAAGGTTTAGCAGGATTCAGCAAGTATAAGATCCTTACAAGTTCGACTAAACATAGCTGAGGTAACACAAATATAGCAAATGGTTTATATAACAGAACGCAATATGACAAAAGCAGAAGCAAGTTAGATCCCGTTTTACCTCCCACTCTTCTTGATCCTTAATCCCTTCATATGCCATGAGGAATGGCTTCATTTTTTCAAGAGCATCACGAAGAGGAATTGGAGGTGTCTCATCAATATCAGGATTGCTTTCAAAGTCTCCCATCAGGTACTCTGGTTCACACTCTATCTGCAGAAAAAAGTTACATCAGAGAACTATATAAAGCAACTGAAATTACTTGGATAAAATGAATCTTTCAACAAGCCAAATGTTACCATCATGTTAGTGTGAAGGGCCTCTATGTAGGTATCATCCATGGGAGAAGGCAACACTCTGGCACTCATTTCTTCAAAGCCTTCAGCCAATGTATTCATACCTTCAGGTCCAAGCTTCTGAGCCAACTTCTCCCCATCAGCATCATCACCTAGATAAAAGCCACTCTCCAAACTACCATCTCCTCTCTCCTCATCCCGACGACCTCTTCCTCTTCCTCTTCCCCTTCCCCTTCCCCCTCTGCCTCTCACCGCACCACGACCACCCCTCCCTCTAAAACCTCCTCCCATTCCCCTTCCACCACCAACATCACCATCACCATCACCATCACCATCATCACTTCTTGACAATATCCCTACAGCCTTTTTTACTGCATCCTCCCTACTCAACCTCTGGGGAGGTGGACTGCTCGCTCTCTCCCCTGAATCTGCAACTTTCTGCTGCCGAGGCCGGAGATGGCGATTCTCTTCCTTAGGCTTCTCAGAGACAGGAGAAGCCGTTTGCAAGGGCTTCCCTCGCCCCGCACCAGTCAAAACTGATATTACACTAGAAGGGAGATTTGAATCATCTCTCGGTTTCGGAGCATCAGAAGAACTAGAATTTGAATCAGCTGTTTCTTCTTCCTTCGCGAAGAAAATGGGTTTCCTCAGTGGCTGCTGCTGCTGTTGTTGTTGCTGTTGCGGCTGAGGTAGTGGAGAAAATGGACCGATCCCACCTCGGCCACGGCCAGCAGGAGGATTAGGGTTATCGACAACGGAGTAAAATGAGGGAACAATTGGGGACGAAGGTAATGGTTTACCTCGACCTCGTCCATGTCCAGTTCCAGAAGGAGTAGTAGGAGTCGATGATTCCGGTTTGGAGTCTTCGGATGCGGATTTTCCCGGACTGAATCCAAAGTTTGGGAAATCGGAACCTCGTCCCCTGCCTCTACCACCTCCGCCGCCGCCGGAGAAAGTGGAAAAAGCGTAAGCCGGTGAGGCGGTGGTGGGTCGGCCAATAGAGCAGTGAGAAAGCTTGCTTAAGCTTCGTCTCATTTCTTGTGAAGTAGTGTTAATGAGATCCCAAAGGGGAATGGTGCTACAGCTACTTCGTCTCCAGCACGAGGGTTTAACGACCCGGCATAAAGTGTTTCAAGTGATAGTTTTGGGTTTAGATTTTGTAAAAACAAGATTCTACTAGGACTACTTCGTAATTTCAAGTATTATTATTATATTTTAATAGAAGTTTGTGGTTTGCTAGTTTAGATTAGAGCACACAAATTGATTTTCGGATAACTCAATCCCTTAAATTTTAATCAATAAAATAAAAGTTCATATAACCAATCAATTTCATTATTATCAAAATGTCTCCTGATTATATTATGAAAACAGATTTCATAAAAAGTGTTTTCTAGTATTTAGTTTGTCAATAAAAAAATATATTTTTCAGATTCATAATAATACTAGAAAACAAAATACGTAGTAGACTGATAACGTTGTCGGATAATGGAGTCATTTTTTCGCCGTTGATAGATTAAACATAGAAAATGACATATTGTTATTTTAATTAGTAGTGTATTTTGATTGGACCAAACACATCCAATTTCTATTCATTTTTCTGAAATTATCCTCCCTCCTTTGTCACCTTACATTTGCCTGATCCAAAATTAGCAGCTGACTAGTTAGCTATGGATTCATCAAGAATAACTCTCCGTCCATACAAATCAACGGACGCTGATGATGTACTCTCATGGGCATCCGATGATCGCATAACCCGATCCACCCATTTCAGCACGTTGACTTCCAAAGAGGATGCGTTGAACTTCATCGACAAATCTTCTATCCCTTGGCGTCGATCCATATGCATCGACGATCGATCGATCGGGATGGTGGTGGCCCGACCTGGATCGGGTGATGACAGATGTCGAGCTGAGATAGGATATGTTTTAGGAGTTGAGTATTGGGGACAGGGGATTACACCGGTGGCGGTGAAGATGGCAATCCCTTTGATTTTGGACGAGTTTCCTGAAATAGTAAGGCTTCAAGCATTATCTAATGCTGAGCATAAAGCATCACATAGAGTGTTGGAGAAGGCTGGGTTTATAAAAGATGGTATGTTTAGAAAGTATTTATACTTCAAAGGTGAAATTAAAGGTGTTGTACTTTATAGTTTTCTTTCCACTGATCCTATTATACCTTCATGAAATTTAAACATATGTACCTGCTAGTGTTTTCGATGCTCTATTGAAAATAATTTTTCTATTCAAGAGTATATCTTAGTATTGCGAGAGTCTACTCGTATATTGTATTCTATACCTTCATGAAATTTATAGATATGTGCTCTCTACGTCTTTTGTTTTTGTTATTGAGTTGTGCGCAAATTGACTCAGAATATCAAAAGTAAGAAAACATGATGGGATATATATATACGAACCAAACTCCAACCGAAAGATATTTGTGACTGTCTCTGCGCTGAATCACGAATTGAATCATCAACGAAAGCATTTGACTACTCTGTTAGAATTTCTTCTATACACTAATTTTTATTGATTCAATGCGATGGTAGAGGAATATTTACATCGAAACATCAGAAAGAAAAAGAATAAAGTCAATGATAAATGTGTATATATATATATATATATATATATATATATATATTGAATACTACATCAAATGATTCCGAAATGTGAGGTACACGTAGTGATGATTACCCTAGAGGTATGTGCCAGCGATCTTTGATACGCACTCTAAAACCCACCAACAATAGCAAGTTTCGAAGTGCAGCTTTATCTCTGTCTTTAGGCAACATACAATTTTCGATCTGAACTAGCAATTTCTAGTGGAATTCTGCGATTTGTTGGCTGATTATAAATGTGGATGAACTTGTGCATATGCTTAATATAGGTATCAATTCGTTTGGTACACACGATAAGGTGGAATATATTATTCTTGGATTATTAGGATATCTCACCTTAATTCATTCAACTTGAGATTATTGTATCTCATCCCTGAAGTGGGATAAATTAATCCAGGACCATAATTCAAGAATAATTTAGTGGTGTCTAGCTAGATTGACATATTTTAGTAGCTTTTAAGCTTTTTTTAAAAAATAAAATAAAATTGGAAAGTACTTGGGTAAATCAGTACCAAAAGAAAGTTGAAAGTCAAAAGTTCGATGTTCCCAACTTTAAAACAATTAAAAAAATTCAATCCAAACATCCTCACTTGCACAATTTATCTCTTTTTCTTTACAATACATGCTTGTGGTTAGGGGTGTACAAGATCGGGTTGGTTCGGGTTTTTCAAATATCAAACCAAATCATTTGTGTAAAAAATTTAAATTTATAAACCAAACTAAATTAATAAAATTTGATTTTTTTTTCAGATTTTTGGATTTTTCGGTAAAGTTTGCATACAAACATATATTTAACTTGTGCTCCAAATATTTCTTTAGTCCAACCAAAATACAATTATCTAAGGCGTTTCTTAAGAAAATAACACAAAATATGATATGAGTACTGATGACACTAAAATATTCATTAAAAAATAATAATTAAATCATCATATAAAATAAATATTGCAAAGTCATAATGAAAATGATCATAATTTAAAAGTACTAAATCATGCTAAAATAAGTTTAATAAGTATTAGTTACATTACTGAATCTTTAAGGAAAATTAAAATTAGATTATGTATTTTAATTGTCTAAACCAATGTAAAACTAAAGAATAAATATTCAATATTATTGGCATTCTTAGTGTTGAATTGATTTTCTTTTTGCATTAGTATTAATTTGATTTTGATTTAAGTTTTATTATAATTATTAACATCTATGAACTATAATCTCTATTGGATCATTCCGAATTCTAAGTTTTAAACTTGAAATAATATATTAAAAGATTAAAACTATGAAATAGTATAAGAAATATTTTAAAATTATATCAAAGTAAATATTTTTATGTATAAAATTACATATGTAATGTCGGGTTGGTTTGGTATCGGGTTGATTTTTTTTTAGTTAAAACCAAACCAACCCAAATATAGTCGGGTTTTTTTTTCCACCAAACCAAGTCATACCAAACCACTAGTTGGGATTTTTTTCGGTTTGACTCGATTTGCGATTTGGTTCGATTTTGTACACCCCGACGTTGTGGTCCGGCCTTTCCCCACTGTCATTTTCCCATTTTAAAATCCCAGTCTTTGACTAACAATTATAAGGGTAGGTACTACTCCATTTATGTTACTATATAATATAATATGTGAAGTATAATTGAGCAACCAACAATCCATCATATCTCCAATTATTGTTACTGATAGCTCTGCTATATACTTGAATTATAGATATGGACTCCTCAAGAATTAGTCTGCGTCCATTTAAGTTAACAGACGTTGATGATATGATGTTATGGGCAGGCGATGATCGCGTAACTCAAACCATCCGATGGAATACTTTGACCTCCAAAGAAGAGGCATTGACCTTCATCAAGGATGTATGTATACCCCACCCTTGGCGTCGATCTATATGCATCGATGACCGTTCGATTGGATTTGTATCTGTATTCCCCGGATCAGGTATTCTTTTACTCTATTCTCATTTTGCATTCCGTATCTGAGATTCACTAGCTCGACTGATCTGAATAATCAGGTGATGATAGAAGTCGATCTGATGTCGGATATGCTGTTGCTTTTGAATATTGGGGGCAGGGGATTGGTACTGAGGTACTCAAAATGACAATCCCTCAAGTGTACAGTGAGTTTCCTGAAGTAATAAGGCTTCAGGCATTAGTTGATGTTGAGAACAAGGCATCCCAAAGGGTATTGGAGAAGGTTGGATTCATCAAGGAGGGGAAATTGAGAAAATATGGATATCACAAGGGGAAATTAGTGGATCTATTCATGTACAGTCTCTTATCCACTGAATCGATTTACTGATACCACTTCTTCAGGTCCATGAAGTCGCAAATTTTTTTAATACATGTAATTGAAAATTAGCCATCTTCCAGGATATTTTCACTTGTAGAATTTGAAACTCCGAAACAATGGCTATTTTGAGATTACATAGCTGAAAAGTGACTAGCCCTGTTGCATATACCTTTACCTCGCGGTCTTGTTTACTATAAAATAGAAACAAGTAAAACACATTCACGCCATCACAGAATCAACAACTGTATGTCTTTCCTGAGAATCAAAATGCTACTTATGTTGCTTTTGTTCGACTCACATTCACATATTTTGTCTCCCAAGGTTACACTATATTCTCTGAACAAGATGAATCCGAACATCTGTTTATTAAATTTATGAATTCTTGGAGAGTTTATGAGCTATCTTTGACACTGAAAATCTTATTTGCAGCAGGTTTAACATAATTCAAATGCCATATTAAAACTTTGAAATCAATGTTGACCTATAATCAGTTACTTTTCCGAAAGTCTAATCTCTTTAGCACAACAATATTGCAAAAATGTCCATGCTCAGAGCACTGGCACAGGGCCATCTGTAAATAATATAATTGATACGTGACTTGGGTTCCACAAATAATTAGGAGTACATTTGAATTTTGATTAACTCTGTCCAACGACAAAGAATCATCTCATTTTACACTGCTAAAATGTGAATTATATGATCTCCAAGAATTGAAAATGAAAGAAGTATGATATTAATGACGCAGTGAATGCCATATAGCAAAGGGGGAGTGCATGCAACAATATAAGTACTTATAAAAATGTTATCGTTACAGTGGCAATCAAGCAGGTCGAGTCGAATTAGTTGATCAAAAACGAGTTAAATAAAAATAGGTAAAATACTCTATTCTACTCGTATTTTAAATGGATAAAAATGAGTTACCCCAATGGATAATATAGATATCCATATTTATCCATGTTACTAAAGAGATCATCTTAAAAGCAAAATCTCTTACCCCACTCACCACCCTCCCCAACGCCAATGTCTCAAAAACTAAATTTATCTTTTATTTCCTTAATAAAAAAAATTAATTTTTTTTTTTTACTACTTCGACCCTCCACCCAACCCCCCATGCCCCTTCATGGTCAGCGCATCTGTTTTGGGTACAGAGGGCCATAGGTTTGAATCCTGTCACCTTGATGCGATGTGGCAAAAAAGAAGATACTCTTTCAATGATTATGCTGGCGTTAAGATTTCAAACTTGTCGTCTACTTTCAGGAAAGGTTATGATGAGCGTGATCACAAAAAAGATAAAAGAAAATCAATTTTTTTCCTTATCCAGCCCATCCATACCCGGATCACCTACACCATAAGAAAAATATTAATGCCACTTACGTTTCTTTTATAAAAAATGAGTCTCTTTTACCCATTTAACTACCCACTTTTAAATGGGTACCCAACTTATTTAAAATGGGTAATTTGAATGGATACCCATACAAATTACCCATGTTGCCATCTCTATCATCGTCGATGAAGAGAGCCAGCGACAGCAAAGTGAAGTCTATTCAAAATCAATACTTTTATAAGTAAATATTCTTCCAAACAAGGAAGAAAAACAGATGATTTATAAGGTACACTCTTTCGACAAAAGAAAAGTCTAAAGATCACCAGCCCTTTCCATCAAAACTTCAGAATAGCAGAAATCCTGTCACAAGCAGCATCAGATGATTAACAGAGGAACCAGGAATATATTACAAATGTATGATATATGAAATGGAACTTAATACTTCAATATTTACTTACATATTTTGTTGAAAGCAACAATATCACAGCTCTGCACATACTCATTGATTGGTTCAACCGTTAGATAATTCTCAATAAGATCATCCACAGAGACCAAATCATCCACAATGGTAAGCATAATTTGCAGCTTCTTTATACCATATCCAACAGGAACAAGTTTAGCTGAAATGAAACCACAGTTATGCTTGTCAACAAACACCAACAATTTAATAACTTTTTTCCGGACAAATCAGTGGACTGATGGAATAAGACACGAGCAATCAAGAAAGAAATGCTAAAAGGTATTGGAGTGATTAAAAAGCAATTGTCTCTCAACTCTTCAGGTAAAAAATAAAATTCAACTCAACGGAACAAAAACAGAAACTCACATGCTCCAAAAGTCAATCCTTCCATATGAACACTTCGAACTGCTTCTTCAAGCTTTTTCATATCAGTCTCATCATCCCATGGCTTGACATCCATGAGAACTGAGGACTTGCCAGCTGAAGTCAAATGGGATCAAAAACAATGTCAGTCTATGCTCATGACAAACTTCAAAGTTTCTACAAGTTTATCCTCTTAGTGTTCGACTTGGTTAGTTACACATGATTTTCTAAGTTCTTAAATCAAAACATATATTGAAAATTTTAGTCATGATATTACACGACAAACTTACATTCTTTCTTCTTCCCTGAAGCCTTCAATGCTGCAGCACGTTCTTCAGCAGCCTTCTTTTCCTCTTCAGTTTCCTCACCAAATAGGTCAACGTCATCATCGTCATCATCATCTTCAGCAGCTGAGGCCTAGAGAGGCATTAAATCAAAGAGAAACAGATTACAAAAGATTATTTCACTTGCAGTAGTCCATTCACAGTTTCACGTAGCATTACTGTGCTAGAAGATAAAAAGAGACTGATGATTACAAAAAGACAATTCACTCTGTGATGCAATCCAAACAGCAGCAAAGAGAATGAGAAGGCAACATAAACTAAATATCAATTCAGAACAGATAAATGTCACACCTTACTGTCATCAGCAGGGGGAGTTGCAACAGCCTCAGTGATGGGTGCAGACCCCTCTACAATAACACCAGCACCTTCACCGGATACACCACTGCAGGAAAATGATATTCAGTGAGATCAGTTTGCCAAGGAAGGAGAACGTACCTTAACAATTCCCCAAATAAAAGTCGAAGAAGCTAAAAATACCAATCAAACATACTAACGGAAATACAAAGTCAATAAGCTCTTGGACTTACGAGATTCTCAAAAGTGCATCAATGTGCTTATACCACCTCAATGCATTGACATATTCAGCTGAAGGAGGCTTTGCTAGATATGAATACACAGTGATATCATCCTTTGAGGCTTGGTACCTGAAGACATGGATTAAACAACATTCACATTTGGATAAAAATTAAAATAGCATCAGAGGAAACATGTAAGTTACAAAACAAGAGTAACTCACTCACCCAGTGATGTAACTGCGGGTCAGGAGGTAGTCGTCAAGCTTCTTGAGACCAGATTCAGAGTTGACGTTGTGAAATGCAACAGCCATTGCTTGATGACAATATATATAAGCCTTTCTGCAATTGTACAAAAATACAACATCAACACTTGCATTGTCCAACAATTAATACTAACATGTTGCATAATTCACCAACCAACCCCGTGCACACAAACCATATATACTACCCAACTAAACTTGACATTCCAGAATCAATGGAATTGTCAGAACACGGATTCTAGGTCTCCTTGACCCAAAACCTGTTAAAAAACTTTCACTCAATAAAACCAAAATGCCCTCAGTACCTCTGAAAATTTGACCAAAACCTCACCTACGCCTAAAATCATCCCCGAATCCAATGGTGTAATTGGGTGTCTAAATTTTATACTAGGTTAAGGAAACTACAAATCACTAAACATGGATTAACAATAATCTAAGAAAAACCTATTCCAATCTGGTTTAGCTAAACTCCTCTCCCCATCTATGCAACCCTAAAGGCGCCGCCGCCACTAAAGCAGTGGCTGTAGGCCCAAAAAAATGACAAATCCGAAAGAATAAAATTCAATTCAAACAAATACACAAGGATATATCATATGATTCATGAGACTCAAATCTATATACATACGAAAACGCAAAATCGCACAGAAAAGGAATAAATTCGAGGAAGAGGCAACATCAAACGAAGAAACACAACAACAGAGAGTCAGTAAAGCGAAAAGATGAAGGAGATACATACATCGGAAGAGATACAACCAGAGCTGAACAATTCTGATGAACTGAGAACCACCCTATTAAGCAATACTTAGCAGAATGTGTAGCCCTAACATCGAAATGTGTGAGGCCCATTAAACATAAAACTCTGTCATATTGGGCCTGCGTGAAGGACTTTTCGTGAGAAATGAATATACGAAAAACTACAAATATGTTGTGTATTGGGTAAATCACATAAATATGCTATATTAAAGAAATATTTACCATCTATGACAATATAATTTTTCTAACTAAATATAACAATTTTTTGGAATTAAGAAATTGTACAGTCGCTTGCCTCTTTCTCTACCCTTTTTCATCTTCCTTCGCTTTTTTTTTTTATTCTTCTTCTTCTTGTCTCTTTTTCTATCATTATTATCTTCCTCCTCTTTTTTCTTTCTTTTTTTTTAAAAAAAATTATTCTTCTTCTTTGAAATTTTCATATAACTAACTATCTTCAAATCAATTTTTGCCCATATTTCATTATTTTTACCCAAAAATACGACGGAAAAAGAAATGAAAAGATGAAAATTTGTACAAAATCATATTTTCAAGCAAAATTTCAAATCTGTAAAATTATAGCAACAAGAGTTCACCATTAATGGTCATTATAAAGCTTCAAATTTTGAATTCATTATTTGAAATTTTACGAATTTGTGATTAGCTTGGATAGATTGTTCCTACTAATAATTGAAAATGTCGTTTAAAATTTATATCTCAATTTTAAGAGGGTTTGGTTAAGTTTATAATTGATTTTAGGAGAAATATTAGATTGAAACTCGAAAAAGGTGAAGTTTATGGAACTGTATGACAATTGTTTTAAAGTTGTATTAGATATGTTTCATAATTGTATTAAAATTATATTAAAATCATGAACAATACATTTATAATACGTATTACAAACTTCACTCTTTTTTAGTGGTATCAACCAAAATAATTTAAGTAACACACTAGTAATACATTTATAATATAGGAACAATACATTTGTAACACATATTGCAAACGCCGTTTTTTTTCTTAGTGATACAAATCAAAATAATTTATAAGACATATATAATACATCTTTTCTTCATGAATAGTATATTTATAATACATATTGCACACTTCACTCATTTCTTAGTGATACCAACAAGAATAATTTAGGTAACACACTAATAATACCTTTATAAAACACCCACATTACATTTTAATACATATTGCAACCGTCACTCATTTTCTTAGTGATAAATTAAAATAATTTATAAGACACATATAATATAAGTTTTATTCATAAGTAATCCATTAATAATACATATTGCAACCATCACTTATTTTCTTAGTGATACAAATCAAATAATTTATAAGACACATATAAGATAAGTTTTATTCATGAACAATACATTTCTAATTCATATTGCAAACTTTACTCTCTTCTTAATGATACCAACCAAATAGTTTACGTAATACAGTTATAATACATGCACACTACATTTTTAATACATATTGCAAACATCACTCATGTTTTTAGTGATACAAACCAAAATAATTTATAAGATACATATAATACATGTTTTATTCATGAATAATACAAGTTTAATTCAGTCTACAGATTATTATCTTGTTTTTCAGTAGTAATTATTTATTTATTTATTCTTAATTTTCTCTTCTAATTCAACTTTAATATTGTGTAATACACTTTTAATGCAAATTTAATTCATTTTGTAGTTTATTATTTGTTACTATTAGATTACTTGTTTAATTCATTATTGATATAAGTTTAATTCACTCTATAGGTTATTGTCTGGTGTTTCATTAATTACATTTTTTATCCATGCTTAATTCTCTCTTCTAATTCAACTTTAATATTTGTGTAATACACTTTTAATACAAATTAATTCATTTTACAATTTATTGGTTGATTTGTTATGATTAAATTACTTGTTTAATTTATTATTGATACAAGTTTATTCAGTTTACAAATCTCAGAATGTTTTTTCGTTTGCAACATTTTCCATGCGTATTTAATTCACTTCTAATTCAACTTTAATATGTGTGTAACACATTTTTAATTCAAGCTTAATTCATTTGGCAGTTTATTATGTTTCTTCATTTGTTACGATTAGATTACTTTCTGCTCTTTCGTTTACAATTAGTTTCGATAGGTTGTTTCTACGAATAATTGAAAATATCGTCTGAAGTTTATATCTCAATTTCAAGAGGGTTTGGTTAAGTTTAGAATTGATTTTAGGAGAACTATTAGATTGAAACTCGAAAAGGATGAAGTTTACGGAACTATATCGCGTTTGTATTAAAGTTGTATTAGATATGTTTCATAATTATATTAAAATTGTATTAAAATCATGAATAATACATCCTACATTTATAATACATATTGCAAACTTCACTCCCTTTTTAATGATATCAACTAAAGTAATTTAGGTAACACACTTATAATACATGCACAATACATTTTAATGCATATTGCAAACATCACTCACGTTCTTAGTGATACAAACCAAAAATAATTTATAAGACACATATAATACATGTTTTATTCATGAATTATATAAGTTTAATTTAGTTTATAGATCATTGCCTTGTCTTTCATTAACTACGTTTTTCATTCATTCTTGATTCTCTCTTCTAATTCAACTTTAATATTGTGTAATGCAATTTTAATGCAAATTTATTTTGCATTTTTTTGGTTGATTTGTTACTATTTGATTACTTGTTTAATTCATTATTGATACAAGTTTAATTCACTCTACAGACCGTTGTCTGGTCTTTCATTAGTTACGTTTTTTTATGCATGCTTAATTATTTTTTCTAATTCAACTTTAATACTAGTGTAATACACTTTTAATACAAGTTTAATTCATTTTGCATTTTATTGGTTGATTTGTTACAATTTGATTACTTGTTTAATTCATTATTGATACAAGTTTTATTCAGTTTACAGATCATAGAATGCTCTTTCGTTTGCTATATTTTGCATTCATGTTTAATTCTCATCTAATTCAACTTTAATATGTGTGTAATACATTTTTAATTCAAGTTTAATTCATTTTGCAGTTTATTATATCTCTTCAATTGTTACGATTAGATTACTTGTCCAACTAATTATTGATACAAATTTTATTTTGTCTACGAATTATTGACTACTATACGAAAGAAAGCAGAGAGAGAAAGAAAGGGAGAAAGAACAATAGAAAGAGAGGGAGAAAGAGCAGCATAAAGAAAGAAAGGAGAAAGAACAATGTACAGAAAGAAAGAAATGGAGAAAGAATAGCGTACAGAAAGAAAGAAAGAAATGGAGAAAGAATAACAGAAAGAAAGAAGGAAAGGGACAAAGAGTGAGAAAGAGAGACAAATTTGAAAAGGCTAGAGACAAAAAAAAGAAAGAGGCGAGAAAGAAAAATAAATATAATAAAATACATAGTATTGTTAGATATTGCTATAAATGGTAATAATTAAAGAGTATATTTAAAATAAGTAATTATTTTTTAAAAGGGATCCACTCAAGTAATTAATCCTTTACTTATACGCTTTAGAAATTTTTTATTATGGGTGAGGCCCAATCAACCAAAGTTGGAAGAGGCTCCACCCATTTTTTGACATGTGGATCGTGGGGCCCAAACTATTAGTTAAGGCTGAAAAATGAAACCAAAAGGAGAGAGAATGTAAAGTTTGAGTGGGAATTGCAAGATAATTGTGGGGTCCATGTCAACTTCAATTAAATAAATTAAAATATTATATTGAAAGTGGAAAAGTGCAAGGGAATAAAAAGTCATATTATTAGTTGATCAATATTTTTATTTTCTATTTTATTCCACATTTATTTAACGTGTTGAATTGAATATCTATTAAAAATATTATTCTTATATTGAAATTTGTTTACACTCTATTTTCTTTAAACTCGCGTTACTTTTAAAAATAGTTCTATATTACAAGATAAGATAAGATTTGTGTATTTTTTATTGTCTTCAAACTAATTTACTATTAACGTCAAATACCAAATTGAAGACATGCATAATTCTAATAACCTATTAAATAAACCCTTTAATGCTACTAAAGCAATGGGGTGAAGAAATGGAGGACAATATGAAAAAAGAGCGGAAAAAAAGAAAGTGATATCGTTTGTTTTGAAAACTCGAAAATCTCATTAAATGATTGTTGGTTTAATTTTATCATGTTGCGTTTCATTTACACAAAATATAAATTATTTCATTAGTTAAATTATTTATCGTAGTGACTAGTGAGAATGTACATTATGTTAGCATTTATTAATTGAGAAAAGGTTCTATACAAACTTGTGGTCCCTCCGTCTCATATTATTAAAAATATTTTTCCGGAATTATTATTTATTTTAGATAATTAAAATAGAGTGTATTAAGAAGAGTTACAAGGCAATTAAGAATTGGGTTGTTAAAATTGAAAATCTCAAAAAATAAATTAATGACTAAAATTTAAATAATTAAAATTAAATTGTGAATTTAAATGTAATAAATAATACTGAATGAATTTTAGTAGCTCAATTGGTTGATTATATGAATTTTTACTTTTTTGTGAGAGTTCAATTTATTTATTTTAGTTCACTATCTTCAATCTCTTCGAATTTATTTAAAAAATAATAATTTAATTTCATCTGATATATATATATATATATTCCTCGGTGAGTTCTAAAGTTTTTTTCTATTAAAATAAAATTACAAAGAGAGTTGGCAAGCAAACAAAGAAAATGCAAGTAAGAAAGAAAGAAGTACAAGAAAAGATTAAAATGGAAAGAGAAAAAGTAAGGAAATGAAACAAGTACAATATGGGCCCCACAATATACAAATGGCAGCCAAAAAACGCCTCACACAACTGACACTATGTGCGCCTCACCCATAATAAAAATTTTCTACGCTTTAAGATCAAAGTTTGAGATATATACTACTTAACTAATTGCAAAGAAAAGACAATTCATGACCAAAAACTTAAGCATAACTCCGCATAGTTATTCACTAACAGGAATTGTGTAGCTCAAAACTTCTCCATTTCATATACACTTGATACAATTGTACTTATTGATATAGAGTGAATACACAAGGAACATATACATTTAATACAATTGTGTTTACTCATACAAATTGTATCCACTCATATATAATTGTATTAGTTATTCCTTAATATAATTGTATTCATTAATATAACTTATCTCCTCTTTCCTAAAATTTCACTCACCTCTCTTCTCCTTTTAATATGTAGTTATAAATCGTAATTAAATAAACTATAGCTATAAATTTATAATTAAGCTCAAATTATAGTCGTTTCTAAAAGTGCTATGGGCAAATAACTTTAGAAAATAGTGAGAGAAATAAATTAAAAGCGACTACCAGGGCCGGCTCTATGCTTTCAAAAATAAGGCCTTTGCCTTAGGCCCCCAAATTTCGGGGGCCCCAAATTTTTGTCAAGAATAAATTATGTGTTAAATTTTTTATAGAAAAATTAATTATTTATGATAAAAAGTATAATTTTTTTTAAAAAAAATTATTTTATCCACTTTAACATCTTTTGTACTTTGTTAAAAATAAGAATTAACAGTGAAAAGTGTTGAACAAAGTGAATTACAAATTCTTTTTTATTTCTTTTTAAATTTTAGTTTCAAGCATTACTCTAAGCATATTAAAATGAGGTATACCAAGTCATCAACTTTTTGAGTCAAATTCTATGATTCTAAACTTCTAACTCTTATCTTTATTTAATATTTATCAACTTATTACTTATATCATTATGTTAACAATACATATAATAATTGTCTCACTTAAAGGATGTTTTTCAATGTTGAGTTGATAAAATTTTACCTAAAACTAGTAACTCAAAAAACAATATTAGGTACTAATAATTTTCATCTTAATAGTGTATTTTTATTTTTTTGAATAAATACGTATATGAAAGTGTATTTATATTTTAGGCCGCAAATTGAAATTTCGCTTTAGGCCCCAATTACGTTGAGCCGCCCTTGGCGACTACTATATTTTGATTGGACCAAACACACTCTATAATGGTCCATTTTTTTCTTATATATTACTGTATCCTGAAAGGACGATCATAGATCTTTTAGATAACAACAACTACTCTACTGATCTTACATTACCATAGCTAAATGGATTCATCAAGAATCACTCTCCGTCCATACAGATCAACGGACGTTGATGATCTACTCTCATGGGCATCTGATGATCGCGTAACCCGTTCCATCCATTTCAGCACGTTGACTTCCAAAGATGAAGCCTTCACCTTCATCGACAAATCTTCCATTCCTTGGCGTCGATCCATATGCATTGACGATCGTTCAGTCGGAATCGTGGTGGCCAGGCCCGGATCTGGTGATGACAGGTGTCGGGCCGAGGTAGGATATGCTTTAGCAGTTGAGTATTGGGGACAGGGGATTACACCGAAGGCTGTAAAGATGTCAATTCCTTTAATTTTGGAGGAGTTTCCTGAAATAGTAAGACTGCAGGCATTAACTGATGCTGAGAATAAAGCATCACATAGAGTGTTAGAGAAGGCTGGGTTTATAAAAGAGGGTATGTTTAGAAAGTATTTTTACTTTAAAGGTGAAATTAAGGATGTTGTACTTTTTAGTTTTCTTTCCACTAATTCTATACCTTCATGACATTTACAATTTGTTTGGATACCCGTTGTATTGTATTGTTAGTTTAAAAAGAAATAAAGTTAAAGTTAATGGAGTGTGGGGTAGAGGGATGGAGTATAGAAGTTAGAACCTCTTAGAAGGTGGAAGAATAAGGTGTTTTTCTTTTTAAAGTATTTATTTATTCAATAGTAATAAAATAAAATAGAAATTATTTTTGTCACTGAATTAATGAGACAGATATGATGTGGTCTTAATTTATCTGACAAGTGGATAACTGGATATGATATGATTTTAAAATAAATACAAAAATATCTTAAGCCATTCCTTCTAAATATTTGGCTACAAATACAATTATTATTATTATTATATTAAATTTAAGAAATTCATAAATTTTAAATTTTAGAATAAGTCTTGCTCAGGTCTCGGGCGGGCTTAGCTTCCTAAACATAACTTATGTTTAGACATGCATATTACTTGAAAAACATTAAAGATTAAAATTTGAAAATCTAATCAAATTTCATGGCCAAACAGAGATATTTTCAAGTGAAAGGTAACTAACTTCTACAAATGGACTTTCATTAGATAAACCCCCTTGCTATATAATTGGTAAGTGAACTCCATATAATTGAATACGCCAGGGATTGCTACGAAGGTACTCAAAATGGCAATCCCTCGCGTGTTCGATGACTTTCCTGGAATAGTAAAGCTTCAAGCTTTTATGCTGGTTCGGAGAACAAGGCTTCTCATAGGGTTTTGGAGAAGGCTGGATTTCTCTACCAAGGTTCAATAACAAATTATAGAAAAATGCAAATGTGGTTGATTTGGCAATTTATAGTTTACTATCCACAGACGATGGGGAAATAATAACACTCTGTTAAGCTATATTTTTCCCCAACGCATTTGAGTCTTTCAATTTATGTTTTACTACAATTGTGTAAAATGTACTTGTTACTACTTTTGAAGTTAGTTACATTAATAAAATTTCTGGCTCTGTTACTACTTTTGAAGTTCAGATGTGCAGCTTTGGATTGTATTTAAATTACGCAGCCTATGATTTTCGATCTGAACTAGCAATTTCTAATGCGATTGGCTGATGATGACAAGGTTTTAGGAATAGAAAATTTTGGTGACTTGTTCCAAATCAAGTGAACTTGTGCTCCTAATGAATAAGTCGTGGAAAAATAATTCTGAGATTTCCCTTTGCCCCTTTTCGTTGCTTGCCTGATTGCAGTTTTCTCACTGGTGCATTTCATTTGTTTTGCCTGATTGTAGTATAGACATGCGGATGCTGAGATTGATGTGTGAGACATACTAGAAGGGATAAGATTAGGAATGAAAGTTTTTCGGGCCAAGGTGGAAGTGACCCATATGGAGGATACACTAGCTAGAAGTTACCAACGATAAAGTCATATTATATCCCACGCGTACGGTGCGACCCAATCGTCAAAGATATGTGTTGAAATTTTTTCATGTATGTCCGAACCATGGTGGCCCATGAATTTCCAGCACTGAAGTTGCAAAATTTAATCCATGTAATTGAAAATTAGCCTCAATGTAGAATATTATTGTATCATATAAACGATTGAGATATTCAAAGTTGTACAAACTAAAGAGAGGTAGATTTGGCATAATACTTGTACAGTTTAAAGTCAATCATATATTCATTATAAGTGACAACTTAGCCTCTGTTGTATAGACTATACAGGGATTATGTGCGGCACCACCCCGTTATTTCGAAGGGGGTTTCAACCAACGAATTTATGGTCATTAAGACTATACAACTCAGAAAGACAACCACTTTCTTTGGGATCAACTTATACACAACCACTATACAAGAAGGAGCACCACTACGGTAGCTTTCACTTTTACTTCATAAAGCATCTCTGAGCTAAAAGCACCATTTACCCCATTTGCCAAGAGATAATCTCTGTCCTTCCGTTTTTGCATAGGAACGAAACCAGAAACCAAACACCTAAACCTTCCTTTTCCCAAGTGATCAGCCTACATTAGCACTTGAGGGAGACGAGAAAATTTAGGGGGTAGAATTTACTGAGATTTCCTGAGGCAAGTGGGAGTTCAGCTGATCCACATAGGCAGGAATGACAAGCCGTTGCAATGGTGTTAAAGCCACAGTTAGCTGTGCAAATGATGGACGCAAGTTTGGATCACTGGAAAAAATACATGTACGAGGTAATTAGCATTCTGCATCTTGAAAAAGAAAAAGAAACTTAAAGGATATTACAGGTGCATGTCACTCTTACGTTTGCCAACATTCCCATATTATTCTTGCTACTATAGGATCAAGTTCCTTAGGAATTTCAAGGCGTTTATTCTGGAAGCCAACAGCTCCCACCACTTGCATTGGATTCATTCCACTCCAAGGTAATCTTAAGGTAGCAAGTTCCCATAGAATGACACCAAAACTGTAGATGTCACACCTGTCAAGTGACCAAAAATTTTAGCTGAGGAACACATAGCATGGAGAACTCAGCAAGTACAAAATCTGCTGCAAAATAAACACATGTTCCAAACTTAGCCATCTATGAGCTCATTTCATCCTAGTGACCAAGAATACCACAAAGGAAATGTTCATTCAGGAAACCATGCTTAGTTCAAAATTAGGATACGGAGTGTCAAAAGAGTTCACCAACAGATTACACCACTACAATTCCTCCAGGTTATATTCACTATTTTATAAGTTTGGAACTACGTAACCAAGAATTGTATCCTGGATGATGCGTTCCATTTTTGGAAAATATAAGGAAAGTGTAAGGCAGGCATTTGAATCCCAAGGCAGCAGATGAAACAAATCCTTTCTCATACTAGCAGAGATGGTGCAGCAGTCCAGTTCCATGGGCATAACGACTATCTCAAAACTCAACTTTAGCCAAGTAGAAATGTAAATGTTATAGCTGATGTGGATTATGAACCCCATTTTTGGTTATTATCCAAGGTCAGGTTGTTAAAGTGTCCCACATTGATCAAGTGAATGGGATTATCTTATTTTATCTTGTGCAATCCTCATCCATAAACTAGCTTTTGGGGCTTGAGTAAGACCTAAGGTCTATTTCCTTAAGGACTCCTATGTTATGTTGTTCACGCTCAAGATGTCCGCCCTGGGTATGCGAGGAAGTGTTAGATTTCCCACGTTATGTCTCATTATATGCCTTAGGCAATCTTCACTAATGAGCTAGCTTTTGGGGTTTGCATTGGACCCAACATCAATTTTCTTAACAAAAGGTAACAAGTAATATAAACATGATGAACAATGGCATGCATGCCTAACATGGAGGTTGACAGAAAAACAAAAAGGTCAAATTTGTAAAGGAAAAATTAGAACTACAAGAACATCTCTACACAGACTATGAGCGAAAACATGGAATTAGTAAAGAATATGTTAACTCACTTCTCATTAGAAGGTTCATTGCGGAGAACTTCTGGTGCCATCCACTCAGGCTATGGAATGAAAAGACTAGGTTAGACAATAACAAAAGCAAGTGAAGAAAGAAAATAATTATTATCCAAACTTCACCGTAAGGGTAACACATGTAACCAATAGAAAACAGTTATATTGTTCTCACCGTTCCAGCTGTTGATTTGGAAGACAAAAATGTGTTGTGCTTCAAGCGAGACAAGCCAAAATCACCTACCTGCATTCCAAGATTCAAGAGTTACTACTAGCCCCTCCGAAGACATCCGACAAATTAAGGAATGGTCCAACAGAGATCCAGAGTTACTAATAGAAACAACCACAACCAAATATACACCCCCTTCAAAATGAACATAATCACACAATTGCATTACTTTCTTTTCATTTTGCTGTCCTAAATTCTTGAATTGAAGAAAAGGCGACAAAGGTTTGCTCAAAGATTCGTGCAGTTGGTGAGCATTTCACTGAAGCATTAAGGGTTTACAACCAACTCAACAAACCAAAAATAAGATCCAACTTTTTTTTTTTTTTTTTTGATAAGATAAATAAGATCAACTTTTTAGTAACCGAGAAATCTGCCAGGGCCTGTTGGGGAGCAGTTCGAAGCCCGGTGGAAAATTAGGTCCATCCTTCCCACTTCTCTCCACTTAAATACCCAATTATGTCCACAACAAGGTTCAAACTCACGATGTGAGCTAATCCATACATCACACCTTGCACTCAACAAGACACGAAGGGAAAAACTAATAAATTTTGCTTGCTCAAAAATAACATGAGTTCATGCAAGGTAACAAGAAGATAAAAAGAAAGCGAATTACCTTAACATTCCAGTTCTTATCAACCAAAAGATTAGGTGACTTCAGATCACGGTGAACAATTGTAGGGTTGCTTGTATGTAAGCAATCCATGCCTTTTGCCTGCACAAGAGAACCTCAAAGATCAACAACATAAGCAAAAAAAATGCTGATCAATTCTTCCCAAGATCCAGCAATATTGATCATGTAAAGATGTTGACCATACCACATCAAGGGCCATTTTGATTCTCCGCCTTTCATCAATTTGAAAATGAGGACGATGAATTATCCGATATAAGCTACCTCTGAAAAGCATGGTATTTTGGATGAGTAATTCATATTTCACAAGATTTTTTTTTTCAAAATCACTAATTGCTTGCCTTAATTAGATACTGTTTAATAACTAACTATGGCTGAAAGAGACTAACAACAATTGGCACTTTGTAGTACCACAAATCAAACACAATAAGGAAAGAATTTTGCATTCATATTAGTAGTATTCACATCATATTAGAAGACAGTTCTTGGAGAGCTCTCAAAAACCATATAACATGGAAACAGTTATAGGGTGAGATAACCAAAGGTTTATAATAAATAAATATTAATCCAAATGGTAAACCTTCTTTTCATTGATTCGTTATCCACAATCGCTAATAAAGACACCTAGACGAATATTTATGTTAGCTGAGTGGATATGAGAGATGCCATTGTTTGTAAGGTTTGAATCATTAAAATCTCAACACATTTAACTGTTTTTGCTTCTTCTTTTTTTACAAACACTTACTAGGACTGAATGAAGAACTTCCACAGT